TCGCCTGAGGTCCAAGTCTATTTCCTACAAATTCTGAATTCCTCCAATTTCATTAGTAAGATTTATCTGTAATTTGCCTCAAAGCTTTCACCACTTTACACAAATGGATAGGCAGCTATCTTGACATCAAATCCTAATCTGTAATCTAATATAACACAAAGGACTAAGTCATCAAGTCAGACTCACATGAATCGAGATCTTGCCCAGTATCAAGCTTAACTAGTAATTTCAAGGACAGGCAATCAAGAAGTAGGAAGAAGTCTGAGACATGGAGGTTGTCTGCCATTCTGTAAGGTCTTCACCCAACCTCGTGGCTGACCTCTTCTGTGGCAAAGAATTGAATGTCTGCTACAGGAAGAAAGAATTTGGGGAACCATCCCCACCTATATGGTTTTTCTTCTTTGACTTATTAGTATGGAAAATATTTGAGTAAATTCCTAATGGTTGAACCATCCTTGCTTTGTGATGGTATTTTAGTATTTCTTTTTTTTTTTTTTTTCCGAGGAAGATTAGCCCTGAGCTGACATCTGTGTCAGCTTCCACAACTTTATATGTGGGTCACTATCACAGCATGGCTGACAAATGGTGTCGGTCTGCGCCAGGATCCTAACCTGCAAACCCAGGCTGCCAAAGCAGAGCATGCCGGACCTAACCACCATGCCACAGGGCCAGCCCTGGTATTTTAATATTTCTAAGTGTTTCAAATTTTTGAACTAAAAGAATTATTTCTGGATTTATTGTATACTTGTTTGAGAATATGATTCATTTAGTTTTTGCTTTTTGAAATGTCTTTAGGTTCTCTTATTGGCCAATATATTAGCAATATTCTATCGACTTCCTTACTTTATAACGTACTATTTTAGATTCACATTATTGTTATTTCTATTATGTGTGTATGTATTATCAATGTTATACAACAATTTTATTTTTACATTTGTCCTCTAAATCATTACTTCATTACTTTAGACTTTTTTATGCTTTACTATCATATTTTCAACAACAATTTAGACAATATATATTCAAATGCTTTCAATGTTCTCTGTAGTCTTTTCATAGTCTCTCAATCTTGATTTCTTTATTTTAATCTTCCTCTCAACCCCTTAACTAAACTTTCAAGTAAATATCTTCAAGAAGGTAACTTTAGGGGTATATGTTCTGAATCTTTGTATAACTGAAAATACCTTTCTCTTTGTACACAAACAGCAATTTGGTTGTATATTACATAATCTTTTTCTCTCAAAGTTTGGTGAATGCTATTTGGTGAAGACTGTTGTCTGTTGATATTACTTTTGTGGAAATATTTTAGGTCACTTTTTTTAAAATTTTTTATTTTAGTTTTCTAAATGCTTGTGGGATTTCTTTCTTTATCTTTGAAGTTTAAAATGTCATTGAATCATGTGTAGACTGTGGTCTTTTTTCAATAGTTACCTGGTACATGGTAACTTTTTTTTTTTTTTTTTTTGGTGAGGAAGATTGTTTCTGAGCTAACCATCTGTGCCAATCTTCCTCTATTTTGTACATGGGAAGCCCCCACAGCGTGGCTTGATGAGCGCTGTGTAGGTCCACCCCCAGGATCCGAGCCCACAAACTCTGGGCTGCTGAAGTGGAGCATGCAAACTTAACCACTGCAGTACTGGGCTGGCCCCCTGGTAAGCTTTGTTAGATCTGCAGAATCACGTCAATTAAAAAATTCTTCTATTATTACTTCTCTGTGGATTTATTTCTGGTTTCTTAACAAAGTCTTTATCACGTCTCCCTTTTTTCTACAATTTTCTTTCGCTTTAGATGTTAGGAATATTCTTAAATGTGCCCTTCTCTTCATTTTTTTGTTCGACCAGTATGTATTGAGTGCCACCCATTCTTCAGACAATAAACTAGGCTTTGAGAATAAAATGAGTAAAACAGATATGGTTCCCCTTTCTTGGATTTTCACTCTGGAGAGAGGAAGTGCAGAGATATGCAGAGACAGTCCTTCCTTAACATCTTCAAAGCTTCCATGTCCTTCTCATCATCAAGGATACCATTTTTTGTTGGAACACAAAAGTGGAATTGGGTGTGATTATTTTATAATGTTCTTGCTTATTCAGTTCTTGTGCCTCAGGACCCCATCTGCATTTTGCTTTATGAAAATTCTTCTTGGGTTCCAGGAGATCATAAAGCATCACTATCTTTTTCATTATTACGTCAAATCAGTTACGTCTAGCTAGGTCTCGACTTTATACCTAAACTTCCTCTTTCTCCAGAATAATGAGACTTTACTATATTTTAATTCTGTCACCCAGTGTTCCTCTATGGCTATTTGATAATTGATATTTTTCATCTCAATAATAAAACTGAGGACAACTATGATTTGACTTGACATATTAATTAGTCTTTATACCTTGGACTCAATCATAACATGAGAGGTTAGATCAGAGGACAGACTTCTGAGACAAATGAGAAGTTTAAATATTTGCAGATCTATGACTAACCCTTCTGAGAGTTGGTTATAAAACTTGTATGTTATTCAGGCTTTTTGTTTTCTCTTTTCTGTTTCTCTAGGTCACCTTTCAGAAATGCCAATATTATTGACTAGGGAGTATCTAGCAGAGCACATAAACTAAAATCAATATGTTTGGATACTTTTTTAAAGCTAATTTTGTTTTAAAAATAAAATATTTGGCCAAAAAGTGTATTGAAATGAAAAACTTCTTTTGTTGTGGAATATCACTGAATTTTGTCAATTCTTGTCATTTTAGTGCATAAATGAGAATTGATCATATGTATGTATTTCTAACAATTATTTTCTAAATAAATGGAAGAACAAAAGCTTTCTCTCTCTTTCAAAACAAGCAAGCAAGTAAACAAAAATACCAGCCAGTAACTAACAAACAAGCATAGCCACAGCTCTAGTCAGCTCTTTTATAACACGAAAGAGAATTTTGTTAATTGTGGTAGGGTTTTTTTGGGTTTTTTTGCCTACCTCTGTTTGGGTAAGTATTGTATTGTGGGAATGTATTCATCTACAAATGACCATCCTTCTCTCAGTACTGAAAAGAACTGAATATCAGCTGTGGAGGGAGATAGAGACAATAATGGACCCAAATCACAAAAGTTGTAGGCTGTGGGTTATTGTACATCTTTGTTCTTGTTCCAGCATTTCATTACACTTGTATTTCTCTGGGAGGCAGCATACAATTTTAAAATTAAGAGGAACAAGATAGAATCCTTTGTGCTTTCTGCCGTGCTTTCTTTTGTGGCTTAATTCTTGGACTGGTAGGGAAAAAGAAGTCTTTTAATTTAATTCTAAAGGATTGAAAAGGCAGTGAGCAATACAAGGACTGCAAAAAAGATTGGGGCTGGAGATGCTTCTCACTAAGGGGAGAACAAGTTAGCCCTTCATCCAGAAAAGTAATAAACCCCATTGTAAAAGACATCCAAGAAGCACCATTGCTTTCCTTATTTCCTATATGGTTAGTTACTTTTGTTTTCTCCTACAATAGGCATTATTTATACAAATAGCATCTGTCTCTATTTGTGCAAAGAAAATTGTACTAGGAAAGAGAAAATCTGAATTTAAAGTTGATCTATGCTGAATTATCTGCATAATTTTGGACAAGTTGCTTGTAAACTCCCTGGGCCTTAGTCTCCTCTTCTGTAAAGTGAATATGTGATACCATGTAATTTCTAAGTTCTTCTTCAGCTCCTCTCCAAATCATCTGATATCTAGTCTGCATGCAAATTTCTCCGAGTCCTAAAATACATTTTTATAGCTTTTTAAAAAACATGAATCCAATAGAATGCATACATTGCATTTAATTTTTGTCATTTTGGACTTTGGAACAAGTTCTCCAATTCCTTCTTTCATGCTGTTTCCATGATGATTATAGACTATCCCACATTCTGGATTTGTCTAAATTGTTTGCTCCTACTGAGATTTAACTTCTTTGTCTTTATATTTTCTATAATCTAACTTCTTTAGATTCAGTATAAGCATTTTGAGAAGATTTCTTCCCAAGTAATACTGGAGTATGTTTCACATCATATCAGAAGGTACACTATGTCAGAATGTCCTGCTGTTAGTGTTATAAAGTTTGATCCTTGATTAAAATGGTGGCTACCACATCACTCCATTTCTTCCCTCCAGCTCTTATTTAAAATTTGTATTTCTTGGGGCCAGCCTGGTGGTGTAGCAGTTAAGTTCATGTGCCTGTTTCAGCTGCCGTGGTTCACCAGTTCGGATCCCACGAGCAGACCTACAGACCCCTTATCAAGTCCTGCTGTGGCAGGCATCCCACATGTAACATAGAGAAAGATTGGCACAGATGTTAGCTCAGGGCCAATCTTCCACAGCAAAAAGAGGAGGATTTGTGGTGGATGTTAGCTCAGGGCTAATCTTCCTCAAAAATAAATAAATAAATAAAAATAAAAACATATTTCTTTGATTTTCAATGTCTTTACAGGACTTTATTACTATACTCTTGGATTTCCTAAATGTACATTCATCCTATCAATAGCTGCCAGATAAGTCTTCTAATCATTTTCATTAGCTCTTTGGATCAGGTATTTCCAAGTGCTTGATAGTATCTAAAATCCTTAACCAAGTAGTCTAAAAAACGCATTTTATTTTGCGGTCTCACAAGCCCCTTTCTGCTCCACCTAAGTTCATTTGATGTTTATCTTCTACCTATGATCTTGTCATTCCTACGCTTTGCCTTCAATATCCTATTTCCTTCCTCTGGAATCCCTCTTATGATTCCCCCTGGCTTATGTTTATCACCCTTTATGATTTATCCCACATCACTAAAATCATTCTTTTGGTGATCACATATTCAACTTATGACATATGCTTGCGTAATTTTCAATACAATGTGCATGTGGGTTTTTTTTTAACTAAAAGTGATAGATTTTCAATATAGGGGTTATGCTGATTCAAAGTTATAGTCATTGAAAAAGTTGAAAAAAGTTTTAAACATGGGATAAACTTGTTAAAGAATAACTTTCTCTTTTTATGCCCATAGTCAACATCTATTAGATGAGAAAATGAGTCAGTACAGTAATGATGACTGAAAGTACTCCTCTTCATCAAGTCAAAGGAAGACACCCTGTGAGACTGGCCTATCGTTCAGCAGTGCTCTGAGGTTTCCTTCCTAGTTTCAGGTAGGGTATGGTTTTTATGTGGCCTGTATTTCTGAAATTGGGCAGTTTGTTCCAGGTGAAGCTTTTATGGCTCTGGTTTCCTGGGAAATACTGCTGTGCTTGCAGATCATTCATTCACTGATAAACTGAATTGACTTTCCCATGTATTTAACTCAGTTTTTCATTGTGATGTAGTGAGCAAGTGCTGGGTTTGGAGTCAGAAGACTGGGTTTAAGTATTGGCTCTGCCACTTAGCTTATGTGTGACTTTAGGCCAATCCTTTAACCTCTCTGAACTTTAATTACCTTATCTGCAATTGAAAAAACTCCTGCTATGCCTACTTCATAGGATTGTTGCAAAAGATAGATTAGATAACATGTGAAAACTCCCATGTGATTTATAAAGCACCATCCACTGTAAGGGATTATTATTCATATTTTTAACTTATTAAGGAGATAAATAACCTCTTTTATGGAAAATTTTCTATCTTCTAACTCAAAATCGTATAATATACATTTTTTTTTAACTAGGAAAAAAGATGTGATTGAGCTTTTTTTTTAAGCAATAAGATTGGAAATGAAGAGAAAAAAGAGAATTCATTTTTCTCTGAATTCCTTTCAAGCCATATATTTCGCTCCTTTTGTCCGTTGTCCTCATTACTCCTACATTATGGTATCGTGTCTTTTTGGAAATGTTCAATAACATCTTGCTAATTTTTTTTCACACTGATCCAGCTCTTGGCTTTAGTGCTAGCTTTACCCAGTTGAACAAAACTCTCTATTCTTACATTCTTTATTCTTTTTAACATTTCTTCTGTAAATCATGTTTAGTCAATCAGTCAGTTTTGCAAGCAATATTTATGGCATATCCGCTATATAAAAGTCATTCTTATGTTATTTATTTAAAATTTAAAAATGTGTAATATCTGTTCTGGATTTCATTTTGGAGGGTAATAAACAATTTTAATTACCTACTATATGCAAGTTACTATGGTCATTTAGAAATTCTCAAGAAGACTTCATATTAGTCTGGGTGCCAAATATAGAAACAATCTCAACACTAAAATTGTGGGCATAGAGAGAAGAAATGAAGAATTTACAGAGGATGGATCATTTATGAGTTGTCCCAAATGAAGGGAGAGACTATTCATTGTAAAATGTGGTGATTTCAATTATACCAGATTCTCATTTTTATTTACAGAGTATTTAGGAATAGCATTAGGACACTAATTGGGGAGTGCTCTATTCATTAAGGGGATTCATTATCTATTGCTGTGTAACAAATTACCCCGGTATGTAGTAGAAGTCATACTTTATCTCTTTTGCCATATTCTGTTGATGAGAAGTGGGTCACTAAGCCCAGCCCACATAGAAAGGGAGGGGAGTTAGGTTTTACATTTTGAAGAGAGGAGTATTCTAGAATTTGCATCATAGCTTGCCCTCTAGCCAAAAATTATTTACATTCTTCACATTTGCAACATATGCTCAGTCATTCCCAAGATTCTCCACACAAAGTCTTATCCTTTACAGCATCAGCTTAAAGTCTAGGATCATGGCATCTATATTAGATTCAGGTGTGGATGAGGCTCCTCTAGTCTTCCTTAAGCACACTTGCTCAAATACGGTTTCTGTTGACCTGAAGACCTATTAACAAAAGAGACGAGTCATTTGCCCCACAAATACTCAACGCACAATGGTAGGACAGACATTGGATAAGTGCTATAGATACTACTATTCAAAAAGGGTAAAAACAGGAGGCTTACAAGAGCCTCAGGTCCATAGAAATTCCATGATATAGCAGAGCACTAGTTGGTAGTTTCTTGACTGGGAATCAAAGCCTAGGAATAATCCTCCATACCTTTTGGCCTTGCACCCAGATCTCTTGGCTTCACCTTCTGAGTCATCCTTCCCCTTTTATGAAGGGTAGGCAATGCTTGTTGTTGAGTAGTCTTATAAGCCTGCTTCCTGCCTGTAGAAGTTTGGGAACCCAAACATCTTTTTTCATTTTGTACCACACTGTTCCTTTCATTCCAAGCTCATGGTATTTCTGCCATGAAATTCTCTTTAAAACTTGTGGGTTTCCTATGACTCTTATTGAGGGTTCTTGCCATTAGACAAAAGCCACACCCATGAATATTTTTGAGATATGCCCTTCTCTATTTGGGCTTCTGATGAGACTGCTGAGAGAAGAGACTCTAAGCTTCTTAGAAGCTTTATTTCTCAACTGAAAGTTCTCTGGGGCACCTCTATACATTTTTCTGAAATCTAATCAAAGGGTTTTACAGGTACTTCCTCAGCTTCATTTTTACAAATTTTTCTGATAGTGCCCTGGGTTTGCTCTCTATATAAGACCACTTCTTAATTTTAGCATGGTTGGCCATCTGGAGAGGTTGGGAATTTTGAAAACCAGCAAATCCTGGATCCTTTATGTTTAATAGTCTTTTCTTTAGCTTATCTCTCTTCTCTCACATTTGATTATAATCAGTTCAAAAAAAACCAGGTGGCACCATCAACACTTTTCTTGGAAATCACCTTAGCTAGATAATCCACTTCATTAGTACATTTTCTCCTTGCCATGTAACTGCAGGTAACAGTGTCGCTAATCTTTCTGCCACTATGTAACACGGGTTTCTCTTCTCTAATTTCCAATAACATTTTTCTTACTTTCCTGTAAGGCTTCACCAGTAGGCTCCTCGAAGGCCATCAACACTTTCCTCAAAGTCTTGTCAGCTTCCTCTTGCTTCTTGGTTCCAAAACCTCTCCCACATTTTAGGTTTATCTTAGAGCATCATATCATATCATTTCAAGTACTAAAATCACCATTAGTTATCTATTGCTGTGTAACAAATTGCCCAATATGTAGTAGCTTAAACAATATTAAACATTTATTATCATCACAATTTCTGTGGGTTAGGAATTCAGGAGTGGCTTAGCTAGGCAGTTCTGGCTCAGGGTCTCTCATGAGGCTGCAGTCAAGATGTTGGCCAGAGCCACATTCGTGTGAAGGCTTGACTGGGGCTGGAGAGTCTCTTTACAAGGCAGTTCCCTCACAGGGCTGGCAAGTTGATGCTGGTTGCTGGTGGGAGGCTTCAGTTCCTTCCCATGTGAGCCTGTCCACAGGCTGCTTGAGTGGCCTCATGACCTGATGTCTGACCTCCTCCAGAATGGGCAATCCATGAAAGCAAGGTGGCAGTGACATGCATTTTATGACTCTGTATCAGAAGTCACAAACCATCACTTCTGGCATATTCTATTCATTAGAAGCAAGTCACTATGTCCAATGCACAATCAAAGAGAGGGGAATTAGTCTCCATCTTTTGAAGGGAGGAGTGTCCAAGAATTTACAGCATTCTTTAAAACCACCACAAGCTTAATCCTGCTCTTGACCAGTAACTCCTCCAAAAAGATCCCCAAGAGAATGTATACACACACACACACACACACACACACAGACACACACACATACACACACACACAAACAAACAAAGAAGCAAGGCAAAGCTGGAGTTTGACCTCAAACCTCCATAAATAACCCCAGGTTTGTGGAAATATTTTTAACTGAAGCCAGACGGGCCCAAATGACATAATACAAAAGCAGGCCAAAAGGCTCTCAGGAATGATGCTTTCCAAAACTCACACTCCAGTGGGAGTGAAGCGGCAGAGGCACCTATGATAGAAGAGAGAGGAGAGCAGAGAGAGCAGACAGACAAGCAGATCTCCCTTAATGCCTAGGGTTGCTTGTCTCCAGTTTTTCTCAACAAGGTAGTAGTTCCAGGCCTGCTTCTGTTAGAGAAAAAAATCTGGAAAAAGAGAAAGAGATGATGAAAGCTTTTTAGGGCCCCTATAGCATTCTTATCACACCAGGCCTGTGAAAGAGAAGAGAAGAGGAGTGGCCCAACATATGCATCCTGTGCTGTTTAATTAGCAAAGTGACTCTGCCCAGTAGTACAGTGGTCAGTATAATGCCCTTAAAGTTGACCAGATCACAGCAGCAGACATCTCCCCCTTCAAAGCGCAGCAACTTGGGGGTGTAGGATTAGCACTTCCCCATTTTGGGGGTTTTATCCTATTAATCTAGTGGACTTAACAGCCCTAGTAATGGTCAACCTGCAGTGTGATTGTGGCTCTCGCCTGGGAGGGATTACCAGCACACTAGCTAAGTCCCATTTGTTCCTTTTGCAGGACTCCTTTAGCCATTTCTGTGACTGTAACAATTGAGAGCTAATAATAGGGCAGTCTAGGCCCAAGTTCCTTTATGAATGTCTCTCAAAGTTGCCCCTAGAAGTTTCTGAGATGGATTAAGTCTGGAGATGAAGTTTATCTTGTGGCCACCATATGCACTAGGCTGAGATTTCATTCCTCAGTGAAATCGTTCATTCAGTCTTACCATCTCAAAGCAGCTCAACTGCATTACCTAGTGACACAGGGTGACTAAAATGAGCACCATGTAAAGGCATAGTCCCAAACACAGTTACACAATACAAAAATGATCCAAATGTATTGCCACCATGTTAAATTTTAAAAATCCCTTCTCCTGAGCCAGCCTTGATGGCCTAGTGGTTAAATGCAGTGTGCTCCACTTCTGTGTCCCAGGTTCGGTTCCCAGGCACAGAACCACACCACTCGTCTGTCAGTAACCATACCGTGGTGGCAGCTCACATAGAACTAGAAGGACTTACATCTAGAATATACAACTATGTACTGGGGCTTTGGGGAGAAAAGAAAAAATTTCTTGTCCTAATCAGTTGCTTATTATTCTGTTGCACAGGGCCTGTTTTGAGGGGCATCTGCCCTGACCCACAGAAGAAGCTCCAGCCCCAAATCCCCACTAGCCACTAGCAATGGTCAAGACAAACCTCAAGTGGCATGTTTGAGACCCTAAGATACAATAGGTGACAGTTTAACCAGCAGGTTTAGTAAGTAGCTTTCCTATTGTATTACAGGAATGCCAACTTCCCAGCTGGAGCCAAGCTGAGGCCTCCCTGCCCACAGCTCTCGTTGACTGAGCCAATCCCACACCTT